AAATATCGCCTCATGTGTTGTAGATATCATAATAACCTCTTTCAGCCTTCGGTTTTGTTATCAGCTTCTGATGTATATCCTGCTTTACGATTCCTTCTCTGTTCACTTAGCATGTGCCGGTCAGATTGCTTTCATTCTTGAACAATTTCTCTGCGAAGAGGAAGGGACACCCCTATGCAAATTATCGGAATAACTGGAATTTCTATTCAAAAATTTGATAGCTGGTCCAGTCCTTTACAATATGTCTTCTCCATTGTAACATGCACTGTCAGCAAAACGGAGGTGAGCGAAAAGTCTGAAATGCTTGCCCCTTTTAATAACTCGAGACGCAATAGGATGGCATGCATAGAACCGGTTTGGACTGCAGTAATCACTCAATGGCTGAATTCTAGTGATTTCCAAGCAGAAAGACAGACCACTTGGTCTCTTCGTCACCTCAGCAGTTGGTTAACACAACTCATTGCTTTATTTACCAGATCTAGTGCTCTCGCTAACCCTCGATCCCAAATAAGAGGTAAAGGACAAAGCTCTCGGCGTTGGTCAACCTCTGAGGGTTACGCCATGCATTCGATTTCATTAAGCACCGTTAGAGGTGATTAAATGCACACATGGTTTAACCCCATGCTGCTGTCCTCTCAGATAAGTTTGGTGCCAATTTGGCAACCCCGGAGGGAGTGAAAGCTTGATAAGTCCAAGGTGCGAGATCGAACCAAGGACCACGTGTGTATTGCAAGACATCACTGATCACTGCGCCACAATTACCCCAAGGAATTTTGCATAGAAGGGAGATTAGAGAAAAGAAACAAAGTGGATAGCCAGCTCGGATTTACTAATGGATCATGTGAAGAGACAGGTATATGCCACAAAAGCGCTTACGACGCAATATATGGAGGTACTCTGCAATGGACACGTGGTCGTTGGTTCTACTCCGCGCCCTGGATTCGTCAATCCTTCTATCCCTCCGGGGTCGGCAATTTGGTGCGAAGCATGTCTCGGAAGAAAGCAGCACTAACTCGATATATCGATAGGCTATCGTGAGTCATTTTAAAGGCCACATATTCATTCAGTCACCTATAATGACACTTAATGAAGTCGAATGCACGGCGCATCCCTCAGAGATTGATCAATGCTGAGAGCTTTATCCTTTTAGATCCAAAATATCAGTCACAAATTATTCATCAAAATGTCTTGGTTCTTTGCATCCAAAAATATCTCTATAATAGATCATATACATAACGGCTAACCACGTCATCTTGCATGGTGAATGTGCCTGCATTTATGAAAATAATTCTACTTTGTTCTACTGTTCTGTTCTACTTTGAACAAATTATCCCAACTCGCAGTGAACTTTACTATTTGAAACAAAATCCATTAGAACCCACAGATTTATTCTTCGTATTTTTGTTGAGCAAAGGCGAGGTGTTATTTTCCTTTATTCACGAATGAGCTGACGTTTCGGCGGATTTCGCCTTCCTCAGAGCCGCTTTCTATGAGGTTTCCATTAAGTAAACACAGATTCACCCACAGATTTATGCCAGTCGGATACGATCCTTATTACTTTCTTGAAGATGAAATTGTTTTTTGTCAAGGCTCATAACTTTCGAAATACAGACCGATTTAACACATCGCGGCCGTCGCTCAAATCGAAATGGCTGTTGCGTGAGAATACGCTTCATTTTGTCAGTTACGGATTTGCTGGTTTCTCGACAACAGACGATAATTTCCAGATAATCAGAAGACATGAGAGGTTGAGAACATGACGGAAATGCAGAATACACTTTGCCCTATTGATCTGAAAGCATGTCTATGCATCTTCCTTAGGCTATTTCCTGCACATTACTCTGATGCGGCAATTGATTGATATTGACATTGATAAAAGCATTTGTAAGTGTTTCGCAACTTATATTTTGTTTATTTCCTTATTTTTTTTATACCTGTCTGATTTGTAAAACAACCAAGATTTAACAAAAGGACTGGGGATAAAATAATAGTCGATAACCAATTAAATTATCGGTCGATGAAGTCGTCTAAAAGAAGTGTAACAAAATGAACTACGGAAAATGACACGAATTGTATGCAATGCATGCGTCCACTTTGCCTGCCAACCAGCATCGTCCATTTCGCATTTACGTCCTTAAAATCGTGAACTTCTGTAGCAAGTTTTATTCGGAAATTTGAGTAGTAAGGAAAAAAAGTGCTATTACCACTAGATCAATAGAATAAAGTTTTTTCTACAAGTTTGTTAAGTCTTGAACTCCTGAAGTATGTAAATTATCGAAAAATTAATGTTTGACGAAAAACATCATCATATTCTACGCACTGAGTGTATGGAATTGAACGATGAATCAGAGTTGTCGCAGGTAATTGGCCGCTACTCAAAAAAAAACATCGGGATGCATTCCATAGATGCCGTAGTGAAACTCACTGCCAAAAACTGAGAATACCGTGGTTGGACGATGAGTGAGTTTTCATTGCATAGGAGTTCGAGATGTTCCAAGAACATCGATCGATAAAGGATAAAGCTCTCGGCGTTGATCAATCCCTGAGGGATGCGCCATGTATTCGACTTCATTAAGCATCGTTAGAGGTGATTGAATGCATGTCTGGCCTTTACAATGAGACGCGGTGGCCTACCGATGTATCGAGTGAGTGCTGCTATCCTCTCGGACAAGTCTGGTACTAATTCGCCGACCCCAAAGGGATGGAGGGCTTGGTGAGTCTAGGGAGCTGGGATCGATCCAATATGTATTGCAGGGCGCCTATGCAACACACCCATACTGGGAACTTCGAAAGATATGAATAAAAGCCTAAAGAATATGTATGATATGAAAATACAGGAACTTTCAACTAAGCGCATACAAAACGATTTTTAGAGTGAGCAGTAAAAGAGAAATGGCAGTCGTTTGTTGGGAAGTAGGAGCGACCGACATGAATTTATTTCAACCCACAGCGCATGCGGAAAAACATTAGGTGTGGCGTGGCTCACGAGCATATCTACGTGGTAATAAACTTTCCGTTCATTGGAATGAACTTACTGGTGAAAACTATGCTTGTGTTAAACAGTCAGTGTACACTATTGATAGAATACCTCATAGAAGGGTTTCATGGGAACTTATCGGTCGAAGCGTTATCGATCACTGAAGCGAATCACATTAGTGCTTTCAGGTCATGCATTTGCTCCAACTCGTCAACACAGCAACATCAGACGTGTTAAGCTAAGGTGCTCTAATTGCTGATTGCTGTGTAAAATTGATTATATCGCAATCACCTTCGACGTTCCAGTCGCAGACGTTTCCGCTCAGCTGAACTGTGTCGCTGATCTTTTCGTCACTAACCCCACCACCATCCACCTCCCATATCGCAGCTGGTAGTCGGACTTCCTTTCTGGAACTGCTCTTTTTTTCACGAATACATTCTTTTCGCAATAATCTACGAACGTTCTTAAGAGCACATATTGGCTTCAAACAATGTACTAACACCTATTCGATGCCGTTAGTGTCGGTATAACTGGTATTATCCACCTCTAACTATTTAATGAAAGTATTCAGTGTTCATTCGAGAAAAATGGCTGAGAGAAATGCAAAGCAAGGAGCTCAGTGGTGCAGTGGATAACACGTGAGCCACTGGAAAGGGTAATCACGAGTTCGTATCTGGCCCGGGTCCAAGTTGTACAAAGATTTCAGCCCATAGTGATTGTATTTCACAGTATGCACTGCCGTAGAAAATAACAATGGGCAGTGAATAAAAAGCTGAATATAGTGCGTTCGTTTGGGATTATTTCTTTGCTTTTTTGGTAGAAATCACTAATAGAAGACTTCCAAAATTTCTATGCTTCAATCATGTATATACAAATCTCAGCACTTCTGAACATATATTACAAGGGGCGCGTGTGGCGCAGCGGTGGTAGACGCCCTGCAATACATATGGAATCGATCCCCGCGCTCCAGGCCCACCAAGCCTTCCATCCTTCCAGGGTCGGAAAATTGGTACCAAACTTGTCTGGGAACATAGCAGCACTGGCTCCATACATCGGTAAGCCATCGCAAGTCATTGTAAAGGTCAGGTATGCTGCATTCAGTCACCTCAAAACGATTCTTAATGAAGTCGAATGCATGGCGCATCCCTAAGGGAATGATCAATGCCGAGAGCTTTATCCCTATCCTTTATATTATAAGCGAATTCCTGTAAAATGAGGTAAGTTCTCAGTCAAACTTCATAGTATCTGCCAGCATTCCTCAACTATCTATTCCATCCCCATCCTTTTCTCTTCCCACACTGTTACTCTACGGTGGTGAAATCCACCAGTTCTAGCTTCTGTTTGACCCTGGTGGTCAACGAGTATGTGCGGACTCTGTTTCACTAAATGATACTTAAATGACATTTGTGATGGTTGCCATTTGGTTTTCCATAGTCCTCACCGGCGATTCTTTATGCGTTCAAGTTGCTGTATCTCACAGGTCAAGTGTCGTTCTCAGTTCTATCGCCCTGATTTGTGGACAGCTATCATCTTAAGCCAACAAACATAGGCTAAGTGCATTTTGGCACTTGTTAAATAATCCGTTAACATTGTGGATACGAAGAAATGAAGTCACGTGTGCTCTGCTCACAACGATAGTGCGACCATGACACATGGAACGAGGTCGTCGTCGAACTGCTGGTGCTTGCAATTCTATGTGGAATGACGACCGGTGAGTGCTTAAAACCAATGTTGTTATATGATTACTGAGTCGTTAAAACTAACTGACTGACTATTTCGGGTCGTCCATGGGTCCCTAAGGTGGAGAGGGATTGGCGTGGGCTCCGTGAGACCCTCAGGGCATGCGGTGCTGGCGGATGCTAGCCAGCCGGCGCTCGAGGTGGGCAGTGTGCCGGGCAGCGAGAGTCGCATCCGGCCACACTGGGCCGCGCAGAGACGCAGGCGCGGATCGATCAGGCGGCGCAGCTGGCCGGCTCGCTCACCGGTCGTCCTCGTCGTACTCCGATCGTAGTCGTAGTCCAGGATGGAGCTTTGCGAACTGCATCTATATCCTGAGGACGACGTCTGGCCATCAGACATCGACACCAAAGTCGCGCAACTCGACTTTGGTGGCGATTCGGCGCTGTTCGCCTCGAGCTCGGTCAGCACTGATTCCTTGGATTCGGAGCAGCTACGCGAACGATGTCGACATCGTACTGAGGATTTTCAACTCATATTCGCTGATTCCGGTAATTGGCAGAGTGGTCAACTCACTACATGGGGTCGCATTCGTTCCACCGAACCCCCCGACGAAAGAACTGCTAGGTAGGAAACTGTTGTAAAACTAGGTCTTTGTGATTGGTTGTTTGGAAGATTGAAGGTTCATTAGAAACTGTTCAGAGTCAGTGTACAGTTTGAATTGAGTCCAGCTAATTCTCGACCATCTCTTTTCATTGTAGGCTATGAAAGTCTCAGTGACATTGTTTGGGTTTTTTGTAACCACCATCAATCTTATCCTATGAGAAGCCGCTTTTAGTGCACCGAACGTTGTGTCGCGTCCACGAACTACGCCATCGTCAACCGCACAACGACCGACCAGTCTTCTTGCGAATTTTGTGGGCCGTGAATCGCAGGATTTGGGCCGATATGTGGACGTCAATGACAATGAGATCCAGGTGGAGATGGACGAATCGCCGTCGACCGTCCAGCGGGATCGCTGGAGAGCCGCTCGGCCGGCGACGAGCATCGTGAAGGCGAGAGCGCTTGCGAAGCCACGACGGACGTTCGCCGATCTCCACAAGTCGATCGCTCCCGAACTGCAGTTTCTTGCCCTCCCACATCAGGTACATTCTCATCGTTGATTTTTAACATATCGTTAACTCGGGAAAGTGCTGACATGTAGAGGTTGATCACTGTTATTATTACTATAGAAATGTCTCCGTTCAACGATTTACCGCTTCATCGTGGCTGGGAAGTGTTCCTGAGTGTTGGGCTGCGACGTGCATTGAGTTGTTCGTCCTCCAGCAGGGTCTCCCAAGCTGAGGAGTTGAGTAGAATATGGGAAGAATATCTCAGCACCATTGTGGTTGTATTTAGTATAATATCCTGCCGTAAAAATCGTAGTAGGCAGAAAAGAAAAAGTAAAACATTGTGATTTAAACTACAGCCTCACCTTAACTGGGTTCATTGCCGATATGAGCTGCCCAAATCAATCTCATTGACGGGTGATTGCTAATGACACTGATCGATAGAACTAGCTGAGAGACAGATATAACGAAGGACCCGCATGGTGTGGTGGTGAACACGTTAATCCTTGGAAAGGATGATAGCACGTTAGTTCCCTACCGCAGGCACTTGCGGTCCAGAGTTTTGCAAATATCTCAGCATAAGTGAAATTATTCATATTGTTACGATGACGTAAGCTAGGTATGTGAAAATGCGTGAACGAATGGCCTTATAGCCGTTCGCAACAACGTTTTCTTTTCAGTCTTTGATTGTAATGTGTATTTAACATTGTGCATACCCAGATACCAACACTATGCGAGTCAACGATGTCACTGAGTGACGTCATGCTCAAAGTGCAACGAGAGGGATTGCCTCCTCTCACTTCCGATCTTGAATTGCCACTTCCGTCTTTACTACAAGTAAGCACAGGCTGACCGTTTTCATGTGATTCGCAAGCATATCTTCTTAGTTTTAGTTTTTTGTTCAGACTAACTGACTTTTATCTTTCTGAAAAAGGTGTGTAAATTTGTCACTAAAATGTTATTCCACTTTTCAGGAGGACTCACCGGATTCCGGACTGGGTTGTAGTGGACCATCCCACATCGAAGACTGGGCGTCGTTGTCTATTTTATTGCCAAAGTGAGATTAACTTTACTTCTTAAAGTCTTTGTTGCTACGATATTGACGCTTTTATATTTTCTCTGAGACAGTGCTACTGCTTCCATTCTCTAAGCAGCTCCTCGCTCTACTTGATTTCTTATTGTTTATCTAGAGCCGCCACATTGCGCGTAGGTCACAGGCGGAATAAGGGCCAGAATATCAGAAGATAGCTATTGAATTCATAACTGTGAGGATTCCCCTCAATTGTGAAGTTCTCCGTTTTGAGGTGTTAGTATGACTTCAGTAAAGATCGTGTCTTCGTATTCGTAGTTATTTTTTACCCTTTACATACAAAACTGTTGATCTTCTTTTGCACTTTTCGATAGTTTATATGACTGTTAACGCTGCAGAACTCCTCGAAACTCAACCATACGTTGCCCTTATTCAGTTAGTCGATTGTAGTGAAGTAATGATAGTAGTGTGGGCGCATGTAGCGCAGTGGTCGGAGGGGCCGTGCGGTACAAATTGGTTCGATCTCGCGCATCTGGCTCACCAAGCCTTTCATCCCTCTGGGATCAGCAAATTGGTACTTTGTTTAGTACAGTAGCAGCACAGACTCGATACATCGGTAGGTCACCACGTTGTATAGGGCAGATATGCATTCAGTTACCTCTGACGATGTTTAATGAAGTCGAGTGCATGGCGCATCCCTAAGTGGTTGATCAACGCCGAGAACTTTATTCTGCTTTAGTTTTTGGTGAACTAGCAGTAGGTTACTGCAACCAATTTCCTCAGTGCTGCGGCGGTTCATCTGCCAGAGCAGAAATTAGTCAGTCGTCTTATCGTCGTTATCATAATTTGTTAAATTTCACTGAAACGGGAAATAGTCGTTTTAATTAGGATAGTTCATTTTAATTTGGCATAGTTTCTTCTTTGTTTTTATCTTCGCCTATGATTCCTCAATGGCTAACTTAAGATCCGTCACTGATGGGCAGAGTGCGTAATGTGTGCTATGCAGTGACAGCCGTGCTTCCAGACGGCTGTTCACCGGTGTTTTCACCAGAAATCGGATACGGCAGTTATATATCTGTGGGAAATGGGGATTTTGAGCGGACGTGACCAGTACCTAATAGATTTAACTTTTTTTTAGACAGACTTTGTTCTAAGAAGGCTATGTTTTATTACAGAATGAATTTTGATATTAGTTGCTTTATGTTATTTGCTAAGAGTTAAGCAAAAGCGTCATAAAGTGTAGAGCGTAAAAGAGTCCGCCGTCAATCAATCTCACAGTGTTGCGCCATAATTTCGTCCATAAGAGGAACAGTGGTGATTGAATATAGATTCGGCCTCTGCAGTTTTATTACTTTAAGTGGTTTATCGATATGAAGACTGGCCTATTATGGGAACAACACCTTTGATTTCAATTATATAACGGTGGTGAGAACCGAGGCAGCTCTGTGGAGAAATAGATGTTCTTCGCTTTCTACTGCGTCATATGGCTCTATATTTATAATAATAGAATATTGTTAGGAATACCTATACCATGTATTTTTTATTGGGCAAAAAAATTACTTCATTAGCAAAAGGTGTTGTTCAGTTCCCTTATCTCAGTATTTTCAATTAGTTCGTTGCAGGCATGTTGCGGAAGCATGTTCGTTCTTCAAGTCGAATTCTCAGCTGTTATCCTCATCACATCCCAACTGTATCGAAAGGAAGCGGACTGAACCATGCAGGACATGTTTCCGAGTCCGTCGAAGGTAGGTGAACAAGTTTTATGCTCATGTTCACCTTTGATGTTTCATTTACGTTTGTTGTTTTCAGAATACATCCTCCTAATTGGGCACACTCCACTTCATCCCGTCATGTATTATGTGACTGCTCATCGGATGGACCAGAAACTACTCATGAGCTCATGCCACGAAGTAGAAGGTAGTTTTTGGAAATTTGACGTAGAGACGAACGTATTCGTCTTTATTTAATGGATAGCCTTTAATCGACAGTGGCTCCACTATTTAAGGTCATCCGGAAATCAGCAGATTAGAGCAAGAGAGCTATCAGTGGTCGGTCTTCCAATCTACGCAGCTAAGCGTAATTTGGTGGAAGCAGTTGTGGATGCTGTTGCAGCTATCGCTCGAGGCGATGAACCAAAATTTCTATTCATGGCTTTGGCAGCGTTGATTTCAGATGGACTTAAGCATGAGTTTTCACCATGGAACATGATACGCACAATTACCACACCAGGTTTATTCAGGTTGAAGTCGTCTGCCTAAATGGGGTGTATTTTATTCAATTCTTTTCAGGTCCTGCAACGAAAGATGTCTATTCTATTGTAACAAAATTGGATTCGAACGAGAAGTCCGAAAATTCTCGCGTTGAACAATTCTTCGATGAACTTTTTAAGTAAATGATTAGAATAGTATCGCGAAGATTTTTCTATTTGCGTGGTTTGATTTTCTAAAGTAACCTGTTGCTCTTCTCAGGGAAAACTCATTGGACTGCTGGTTATGTTACGTGGTTTTGAAAGAGAATGTGCTTCGACGTCTCTATTCACCGGGTAGCTTTCTGCTGGATGCTCCAACAGCCTATCGAACACTACTATGGCGGCTGGTTGATACTCTAGCTATTATTCCAGGTCTAGAATTCTTTCTATAAAGTATCTCTCGACCAAAACAGATTGGTGATCCTATATTTTAATATACTCTTTACAGTTACCACTTTATCTTTTTTTTATTTTCTAGTGTTAGAAGTGCGTGACTGCTCTCGACTTCATCAGGCACAGTCGATGTTGTGGAGTGGGCCGTGTAGACTACCAGCAGATTCTCGAGTTCCTAAGAGTTCTTCAGTGCCCGCCAGATTATCCAACTCTATTCAAACCCATAAGCGGTCCCGGATTCCGTTGCCAAAGAGGTGAAGTCTTTATTTTTTGTGTCCTGTGGAAGCTGAAACGTTGCAAGTAGTGTTGTTGAGGAACATGCTATGAATACAGTGATCCCGTTGTAGCATCTAAACTAAGTAGTGCGATTTATTGACCTTTAACTTCGTGTAGTTTCCCCACTGCATACGCATTTTTCATTCCCAGTGCGATTGCGGACCACAGTGCCAGTTAAATGGAGTATGTAATGAATGGAGATATGATTTTCTTGTTGTTCATGATTCGCTGCTTCTAGTCGTATGAATGTGAAGCATCGGACGTTCTCACCACTGATTATCGAAGCATCACCACTGGCTTCAGTGATTTCGGATTCTTGCGAGCCAGGACAGCTGGCCGTGTCGCGCGGCGAGAGTGTTCGCATTCTATCTCGACGTGGCTCGTTTGCTCGCTGCTGTCGTGTACGTCGTCGTTACGACAGTGTGTCCACTGGAATTGTACCACTCGTCAATCTGCTCATTCAGTGATGATGATCTAGTCCCAGATAACATGTGACGGTGAGCGCTGTTAAATAGTACCCTCACATTAAAATGATAAGCAATAAGATGCGATCTCTTCGCGATAATACTGTATATTGTTGCGCCCTTGTTACGTAAATATTTACACTTCCGGTATATTAGTCGTTCCCTTTGGTAGGGTAAATTGTTTGACTGGTGGAATGCGCTTGCCTAGGGATTTGTAGTCTTCACATAGAATTCATTATGCCAACAATTTCTTGTGTTCATTGTGGCATTTCATTTGTACCTACACCATCAAGCGAATAAACTTCTTCATTGTCTTATCAGTGTGTAGAAATACAACGGCTTAGAGTAACTCCCACGACCGACTTTCTATTAACCTCGGCATTGATCAAGTAATTCTTCGTATTTTTTTGAGCAAACGCGAGGTGTTATTATTCTTTATTCACGAATAAGCTGATGTTTCGGCGGATTTCGCCTTCTTCAGAGCCGCTTTCTTTGAGGTTTCCACTAAGTATGTCACGTAGAGACCAACCGCACAGAAATCACATGGAAGCATAATGTGCACATTATTCCTAATGTTACCACCACAGGCAGTCGCCGCCCATGTGGATCAGAGGGAGAATGAAGGCGAAATCCGCCGAAACGTCAGTTTATTCGTGAATAAAGAATAATAACACCTCGCGTTTGCTCAAAAAAATACGAAGAATTACAACGACTTGGTTTTAATTGTTAAAAAAGAAAAATCTGTGTTTAAGCAGATAACACATACTGTTGTTTGAAAACTATTTGTACCAGATTATAAGAAGCTGTATCAAATTATGGTTATGAGGAACACTCGTGGAATCGACATTCCGTTGCTCTATTCCAGAACTCTGAGCATAGTTAAAAGTATTGGTAGTATAGTTAAAAGTTAAAGTATTACTTACTTAGGCCGAACTAAACACGAATACACTGTAAACAGAAGTAGTAAGTTTGAAACTGATTAAACATGTTAGCTAACGTCGTCTGTGTTGTTAATCTGTGGGATACAACAAGTTTTCTCAAGTTGTAAATATTCATTCATTAAACCGTTGATCACCCAGATGTTTACCACCCTATCGTGGGTGTGTGAGCTTCTTGGGAATGGTTAGTATCCTAGCAGGGTCTTCCAAGCTGAGTCCATCACGAAAGAAGTAAACCAGTATCAAGATCCACCACTGTCCCGTTATCAAATTAGTCGCATGGTAGGAAATCTCCCTCTGATCCACATGGGCGGCGACTGTCTGTGGTGGTAACAAAAAAAGCCTGAGCATTTGGCTAGGAATTCAGAGAACCACAATGGGTGAATCAGTAAATCTCCGGCCCTAGTCCCCTCACACTGAGTGCTCCCGAATTCGATGTCGCGCTTTGATACAACTAGTGAGTTGTTATCAAATCTCGGGTTGCAAAGAATGCCATTGGAAACGGACAAAATAAGCACTCTGACAACTTGCCACAGAAAATGATTTTTGCTCCACACCTATAACGGAAGAACAGTCTTTTTCTATGTCGACGTTGACACTATTCTTGTGGTCGTTGGCCGCATCAAATTCCAAGTGATCGCCCTACAAGAAAACGAAAAGCGGGAAAACTAACACGCCATTTATATGACGGAACCCTTGCCGTTTGTGAAAAGGAATTTCCGTTACCAAAGCTCGGAAGCGTTGGATTTGTCGTACACCTATTTTTTACATTTAATGACTTAACACAGCTTGGCTATTCTTCTTCTCCAATTTCCACGTCAAAGAAAGTCAGTATCATCAGCTCTGCTCACCAACTTGTACAGCTGGTAAAATTGAACTGGACGCGTTTTACAACCACTTGTAAGAAGTAATCGGCAACGAGAAGTCCTATAAATTCGTCGGAGATCTAAACGCCAGATTAGGACCAGCCAACGAAAATGAATACAGGATAAGAAACTTTGGAATTTGAGATCGAGATCAGATTAGAAACCATCTTGTAGAACTCCCGTCCTAGCATGTCTTTTCCATGCAAATTTATTTTTTGATAGAAGAAAAAACAAAGTCACAAATGGACATGGGAATCTCCTAACGGCACGACTCATGGAGTGATCGATCATATTTATACGAACAGAAGATGGTGGCTCTTTGTACCTGGATTCTATGCAGGATATGATCACCACCTTTTCCATGTTACGATTCGATTCAGCCGTAAGCTGGAAAAGAACGCCAGTAATCATCCAGGAAAAACGAAATAATTCGTGTATAACGACAATATTTTCGATCAAATCCTCTCATGTTGCTGGCAGATAAAGGAAGACCTGGCCAAGGGCTATAAGCTGCTTGTCAAAAGGCATAAAACTTATGCCGAACTCGCCCCATTGCCTTAAAGAAAAATTTCAGATTATATCTCCATTACCCCTCCCAATGGTTTGCCGCCTCTTCGTGGCTGTGAGGTGTTCCTGGGTGTCGGGTCTCAATGTAGAGCGGGGGATTCATCCCAAGGCAGGGTCTCCCAAGCTGAGAAAGGGTCAGGCGTTTCCATTAGGAAGCCTAGCTAAGAGTAAACCAATACCAGGATCACCTGGGGCAGACTTTGGCCAGGCTGACCTCGGGACTCCAGGTAACCATAGTGTCTTAACCAGCAAATTTCCGAAAAATGGGGATTCTGCTGGGGCTCGCACAACCAGTGAAGACGGGCCATTCAAATATCAAGTATCTCCACTGCCACTAATCAGTTGCTCAAAAAGAGAAACTTGAGTTTGGTCCTACTACAGCGCATTTATCATGGTTGTTAATAAATACCAGACTCAGAAGAAGGAGGATTTACATCAGCGTATAAAAAAAGTTCACCAAGTCTGCTTACCCAAGTTTGAGGTTTTCCGAGTCAACTAGTGGGAAGACCGAGCGAAGGATTCGTCTCCGAAAACACACCTCCCTCTGATCCACATCGTAGCGACGACCTGGATACGCCCTTGCAAGGTTACGTCAGCACTCCAGGGAGGACCAAGTTGCACGATCAGGACTAGACCAGCCTCAGTACACCGCACACTGGGTGCTCCCGTCTATGACGTCAGGCGGTGAGACGACTGGTGAGAGGCCAGAAAGTCTCGGGTTACGCAGGACGTCATTGGAACCGTATCTGACGAACGCACCCACGACACGCCGTGGAGATTGTTTCTTACTATGCACGTATAATGCCAGATCACCCTCTACAGACGACCATCTTCACGCCATTCTTGTAGCCGCAGATCGCATTAAATTTCATTACAAGTAACAAAAATCAAGAAGACCGACATACGCCAACTAAACGACGTGACCCATGTGATCCGTGGAGAAAACGTCCCGTCACGAAATGTCGGTGGCGTAGGCTTTATCGTCCACCCGTCCATTGTCCATCTCGTCGACTCACATGTGATCCTTTTCCCTCGCATAGCTGTTCTCCGTCTTCAACCGTCGCATCATAAGAAGATCACTATCATCAACTGCTACTCGCCGACCGATGTAGCTGATGAGTACGAATTAAATGCGTTCTACTATCAGTTAGAGGAAGTCATCCGCAATGATAAAGCTTATCATAAATTTGTTGTTGGAGATTTCAACGCCAGAATAGGAAAGACCAACGAGAGCGAATACAGGATCGGAAATTTTGGATTAGGAGAAAGAAATGAGAATGGGAACCGTCTCGCAGGACTCCTGTCAGCAGCACGTCTCTTCCATGGAAACTCGTTTTTCCAGAAGAAAGAAAGTCGCCGCTGGCTACGGGAGTCACCCAACGGCATGACTCATGCGGAGATCGACCATATTCTTACAAACAGAAGATGGTGCCCACTTGACACATCGGTAGTCCCGTTATTCTGCACTGGTTCCGATCATCGCCTTCTTCGCGCGAAGATTCGATTCAGCCGCAAGCTGGAAAAGAACTCTGTTCATCGACGACGAGGAAAAGGTCTAGCTATATACGACGAGAACATTCTGAACGAAGTCTTGTCCAAACGTGACTGCCAGATTAAAGAAAACCCGACCGAAGACTACGAGCTGCTTGTCGAAGGACTTAAAAAGCTGTGCCGAATTCGCCTCAGTTCCTCAAGCAAGAAGATCGGATCGCATGTCCATCACTACTAAGGAGTTGCTCGGAAAGGGAAGGAAACTGAAGCTTGATCCTACTGCAACACGTTTAACACGGCTAGCAATAAATGCCAGCTGCAGAAGAGCTTTCCAGGAAGATCTACAACGGTACAAGCAGAAGAAAATACTGGAAGCAACAGAGAAAAGAAGCAGTCTGAAAAAATGTCGTCGGGACTTGTGTGATTATAATGTTCCGCTGTCAGCCTTGATGAACAACGATGGAATCGTCAAAACTTCCCGCCATGATATGGAATTAATAACGGAAACATTCTACACCGACCTTTCCCGTTCCAGATCCGGGCCCTAATATCTCCGCTGGAGAAAACCACCTGGAATTCTTCCGTCGGAGGTTCGAGTTGCGATAAAAGGCATGAAAACAGGCACAGCTCCAGGACCCGATAATATCACTGCCGATTTCCTTAGAGCTGGAGGCCACAATTTACATGTACTTCTTGCAGATCATATGACAGACTACCTTCAAAAGGAAAAAATCCCAGACCAGTGGAGGACGTCGCGCACTGTTATCCTGCCCAAGAAAGGAGACCAAAGGGATCTTCGTAACTATCGTCCCATATGCTTGTTAAGTGTACTCCACAAACTCTTCACGAGCTAATAACAACCTCGTGTCTGCTTATTGAAGAAAAATATCGAATAATAGCAATAATATAATGGATGGATTATGCGAACAGAACTGGATAATTTGGGACCAAGGGAATATGAACAACTGAGAAAGAGAAGCTCCAATTTTACGAGACAGGGTGGATCCTGTCTTACAAATCAAGGACATTGAATGAGGCACAACCAGTCGAGCAAGCAGGATTTCTGCAAAGATTTTGCTGCAGGGACCACGTTCAAATTGCATCCAGGATCACTGAAGTTTGTCGAGAATACCACATGCGC